TGGCCAGGCTGTGTTGAAAAAAAATACAAGCGCGCAGAGGGCAGCAGCTGCATCGCAGCGCCCAGGTGGTTTGGGCATTTCATCGAACATGTTGCGTGCATCTCTGGTCTGAAGCAGAGGTGCAACTCCAGCTGCTCTAGTGGACTTTTCCGGTGACCGGAGGTGCAGGTGCACCTCCTTGCGCCTGCACAGGTCCGCCACTGGCCCCATACATTCCTTTTGTATTTTAGAGCCCCAACTATTGGGATACCATTTTAGATTTCATCGGAGCTCTAAATGGAGCTCCATCTACCCTTTTTGGAGTGGAAAAACTTGTAAGAAATGGAGATAACACTGCTAATTACAAACGGACACGTGAAAAAGTTATCACGCATGATATATTGTGATTAGCCGAAAATAGTAAAATAATATTATTCCCGTTTCATATAAGTATTTCTCTTTTTAGAGCCCCAATCATTTTGTATTTTAGTCTCTCACTGTTATTAGTCTCTCACTGTTCGCAAGAGCCACCGTGATTCATTTTAGTTTTTCAGCCTAGGCTTCTTTTAACTAGAACAAAAATTTAGATGGTTGATTAGATGGATTCGTGTGTGAATCTATTGATTAGATTGATTTATGAAATTTAGACCGTTGACTAATCTTTTTCTTTTTAACTTTTGTTAACTCATGGGTCCCATGGTAAGATCTTGACCAGCCATCTTGACCATCTGGTATACCTGCACAGCCAAGGAAATAAGAAATTTAACAATGACATGGCAAGATCAGAGCCCTTCAATGTACCAATTGCACAGATTTTACCTGGAGGTTACAAACCATAAACTACCAGGCCATCATACATCATGCATGCAAAACAGCGAAACACGGGACCTCATCCACCCAGGGCCGGCCCTTGGCCAGGGCAACCAGGGCCACCGCCCGGGGCCCACGATTGAGAAGGGCACAAAAAAAAATTATATTAGCTTATATATATGTATATGATCAGACAAAAATATATATTATGTATATGCAAAACAATGCAAAACAAAATTATAAGTGCTCATAAAAAAATAAAATAACTAAAAGTAATGGGTATGGCTACATTATATTGCCCCTTTGCTTAACTGGTGTACAGATTACCTTATTTCCATTTTCAACATTTAAGTAAATGTCTTTGTCCTATTACTTTCATTTATTTTTATATTACTTCATTTACTTAAGTTTACAATGTAAATAAGGAAGTACCCCCCATTTGGATTCAAATAAAAATACTAGAAAATCAAATTCCCACCAAATCAAAATATGAAAAATCGGTTTTAGTGCAAAAAACGATTTATGCTAAAAATGATGGCTCATTAAGTCAATATATACTTCATACTAAAATCCCATAAAATCAAGTTTTCTTATTTGATGTGTAAGGAATAAAAGCCGCCAAAAATTATCTTGAGAAAATGATTATTCCGAGAAATCATTTTTCATACTTAGTCAATATTGCACCTCCGCTAAAAAAATTATGGGTCCACTAGTGGTGGCAGGCATAAGAATTCTCTCTCTCTCTCTCTCTCTCTCTCTCTCTCTCTCTCTCTCTCTCTCTCTCTCTCTCTCTCTCTCTCTCTCTCTCTCTCTCTCTCTCTCTCTCTCTCTCTCTCTCTCTCTCTCTCTCTCTCTCTCTCTCTCTCTCTCTCTCTCTCTCTCTCTCTCTCTCTCTCTCTCTCTCTCTCTCTCTCTCTCTCTCTCTCTCTCTCTCTCTCTCTCTCTCTCTCTCTCTCTCTCTCTCTCTCTCTCTCTCTCTCTCTCTCTCTCTCTCTCTCTCTCTCTCTCTCTCTCTCTCTCTCTCTCTCTCTCTCTCTCTCTCTCTCTCTCTCTCTCTCTCTCTCTCTCTCTCTCTCTCTCACCCAAAGCACGCATCTCCTCCTGGGTTTCTCTAAACAAGGATTTTCTTATCAGTGCAGTGATTGCTCAGGGAATCAATGCCGGTGATATTAAGAAGCTTCAAGACGCTGGGATCTACACCTGCAATGGCTTGATGATGCATACGAAGAAGGTAAAACGAATTTAAGTTCTAATTTCTTACACTGAGGGCATGTGAAGGTCCGATTCCTTACTCTGATTTCTGTTTGGCAGAACTTGACTGGAATCAAAGGTTTATCTGAGGCTAAAGTTGAGAAGATATGCGAAGCTGCTGAAAAGATAGTGGTTAGCACTCAGATTTTCCTTAATCTGAAACATTCTTATGAGATTCTGAAGTTTTGTGAATGTTAGCCTTCTTCTCGTTTTTGTTAATGTATCTTCTTTTTTTCCCCAGAATTATGGATATATTACTGGAAGTGATGCTCTGACCAGAGTAAGTTCAAAGTTGCGATGGTTTTGATTTGACTCTGTGAATCAAGAAGATCTGAGCCGTCAGATCAAATTTTCTTGATTTACAAACGCAATGGTCTACTGTGAAGCTGAGGATTTTTGTTTTTGTGTATAGAGAAAGTCAGTTATCCGCATTACAACTGGAAGCCAAGCCCTGGATGAACTGTTAGGCGGTAATCTTGGGCTCTTTGTTGTTAAAATGCTTTATTGTGTTTATTAAATTGCTTCAGTTAATTTGTGCGTAAATAAATTGAAGGTGGGATTGAAACTATGTCAATCACGGAAGCCTTTGGGGAATTTCGGTGAGGCACTGTTTCTTTGATGCATTATCACCGTCCATTTCTTGTATCGAATTCGAAACTAAGAAACCTTATTTGCAATTCTAATATTTTGATTTGTGCTTCTTTACTAACCATATAAATAACATTGATTTCAGGTCTGGGAAAACACAGCTTGCACATACTCTCTGCGTTTGTACACAGGTTCCTCTCTCTCCTTTAGTTATGCCGTAGCATACAGGGAGGTCATTAAGCCATTGTGTAAAACTCTGTTCTGGTCCTTTACTGGAAAAAAAGTATGGCATTTGAATGGAGAGTAAAATGTTAGCTTGTATTTATTGCAATTGACAATTTTCCTTGCATTAGTTTTAAGACGATAGAGTTTAAGTTAATATAAGAATTATATATGGTCCATTGACAATCGTGGTTATTCTTAGAACATACTTTGTTCAAATCAAAAAAATATTATTGATAATTGTGGTTTCCGAACTGCAGTGCATCCAGTAGTCTTAACTAGTAACCAGAGCTTAACTATATTGAATAATGCAATCTGATTCAAATAACACAAGATATGCATCAAGCCTTGCTGATTGAGGTTGCCTTTTACTTTGCAGCTTCCCACTAACATGAAGGGAGGGAATGGAAAAGTTGCTTACATTGATACTGAAGGAACCTTGTATCCTTCTTGTTTGTCCATCCCATTTAATATTTCATACTGCACATTTCAATGCAAGCAAGAATTGTCTTCAAAAGTTCCACCAAGTTCAGTTTAAGTATGTTTTCTTCTTAACGATATGCACTTGCAGCCGACCGGATCGAATTGTTCCCATAGCTGAAAGATTTGGGTTGGACCCAGGAGCTGTCCTTGACAATGTAAGTTTCATTTTCTCCATATAACAACAGTTAAACCAGTGATGCAATTATTATGAACTAACTGTGTCATTTTCTGAGGCTGCAAAAGATTATTTATGCTCGTGCCTATACATATGAGCATCAGCATAACCTGCTTCTTGGTCTAGCTGCAAAAATGTCTGAAGAGCCATTCAGACTTCTGGTAAGATTTCACTAACAAAAACTCTCTTATGGACAATTATCAAGAAGCTAGAAGATTGATTTTATATGTCTTCATATTTTTCAGATTGTGGATTCAGTGATTGCTCTCTTTCGAGTGGACTTTACTGGAAGAGGAGAACTTGCTGACCGCCAGGTCTGCTCCATAGATTCCCTGCAATGCCTATAACATTTCAGATTTAGATCTTATGTTCTTCTTTACGATTCATTTCTCTTTTAATAACATAAGCAAATTTTAATATGCAGCAAAAACTAGCTCAGATGCTTTCCCGATTAACAAAGATAGCTGAGGAATTCAATGTTGCTGTCTACATGACCAACCAAGGTAATTAGTGATTGACCAATTTTGAAGGCCCTTCTGTGCTCAATCATTTTATAAGCTTATTGGTGAATCACATAATTGTGCAGTCATAGCTGACCCCGGTGGCGGAGTGTTCATATCGGACCCAAAGAAACCGGCAGGAGGGCACGTCCTTGCCCATGCAGCAACAATCAGGCTCATGTTCAGGAAAGGCAAAGGTGAACAGCGCGTCTGCAAGGTGTACGATGCCCCAAACCTGCCTGAGGCTGAAGCAATATCCTTCATACCTACTTTTAGCGTAATTATTGTACTTTGAATTTTCTGATTGCCATCTATAGTGAAAATTTTGATCCTAACAACCGAGACAACAAAATATTGTAGGAAATGCCCATATTTCATTCGTTTGTTAATTCTTGACAGAAATGCACGTCTTTCAGATAACTGCAGGAGGCATTGCAGATGCAAAGGACTGAAGTCTAAGGCTTTTCTTTGACACAAGAAATACCGGAACATTTCAATTTCATGCTATATATATGCGTGTAGTTTGTTCAAAACTCTAATGATATGCAACGATATATCCTAAGTTTTTTAAAGCATAAACATAATGCAGTAGAATAATATGTAGAAATTGAACTACAGTACCAGTAAAAGTCTATGCATCCATTGTCGTATTATTTGATGTTACGCCTTGTGGCTTTTGACAGTAAGCAATTATATAATCATGTCTTACTTCCAATCATCATATAAACTTTGGTAGCCACAGGCAACAGAGTCAATCAAGATTGAAAACAGTAGAGAATAGATGGATCAGTTCAGAACTAATTCAAAGTCTACTTAGCAAAAGCCTCGCCAAGAAAATAGATATAAACTCAGTAAGTTGTTGACCAGTTGGCAGCACTCCCGACTCTTGGGATGCCACTCGACTCCTTCTTAGCCTCAGCATCAACCTTGAAATTGGCACCACACACTTGACCTGAACTATCCACCCTTGGCACCGCCTTCAACTCATTGTGGGGATGCTCGTAACTACTCAAGCCTCCAGAGGAAGTGAAGAAACATCCTGACAGGATAGTACCGAAAAAGTCATTAGCAGTCTAGCTAATGTACTAAGGAATCAAATTAAAAGTCCATGCTAAGACCAAGCAACCAAAAAGGAAGAAAGGCCTAGATCATCCTAATAAGCAACATGAGAAAACCGCAACATATTTACAAGTGAAGCAATTGAACGCACACAATTATTGATTTCATACTACTATGGCAAATTAACTTGAGAGATATTCCATAGCTCATACACATTAGTGGCATTGTATTTTTGACTATTAAGTTAGCTGGAACATCATACAATGCAGAAAGGATTCCAAGAAAATGCTAAACATTTTTTTATATCAGGCCTTTGTCATAGTTATACCTTTAGGAAATGGTGCAAAAGAATTCCCGCAGCCCTTCTTCACAACTTCTGCATCGTCTGCAAAAACAAGATGGCCTTCAGATTCAGTTCCCCAGAAGAACAGAACATTCCCATCAGGATCCTGCACAAGACAAGCACTAAGCTCAACTACAAGAGCAAATGACAGTAGGAACAAAGAAAGAGACCACAAGAACTTGAAAGCAAACTTGGAAGAACAAGTGACAACTAAGAGATGCTTTACTTACAGCAGCTACAAAAGTGGCTTTGGAAGAACTGTCATAGAGAATAAATGCAAACTTCCCTTGGATGTCTCTCACAACCTGATCAGCAGGATAAGGACCTCGATCTCTCAGAGTTCTGTATGCTTCAATAATGATGATCACTTCATTGGCTGTCTTGTTCAATCCATATTGTTGCTTGAGAAGCGCAACATTCTCAATGTGGCCTTGGAACAGGCAAAAAATGTCGTCCACAACCGCAAACAGCCTAACAATATACAATGAAATATATCAAACATTGAATTGAAGTGGCATCAGGACAAAAAGAAAAATAAGAGTTATACCCTCGGACAAGAAAAAATTGTTGCTAAAAAATCGACACGCGAACAAAATTGGAGTTAATTGTTCGTAGGCATGTGAAAAAAATTGACAGTGTTTTCTGTGGCATGTGAAATTATAAAGTACCACTGTTAAATCTTCTCCACATGAAAGAACAATAGGAGGTAACCACAGCAAAATCATAGGATCGATCTTCTACAGCCGAAAACAATATAAAAAAATTATAAATGAATGTAAAACAACAATGCAATGATCTCATTCCAAAAAATATATACCCATTACATTTAAACAACAAAGAGGATATAGCCAAAGAGTTAATCTGTCCTTTTGTCTCATTTCAAAGAAACCATCCAATGAAACCATACAATCTTCATCAAAGACTACCTCACCCAAATGAATACAGATCATTTAAGCCCTCTATAATATATTTTTTTTAAAATAAAGCAGAAAAATAATTTCGATAAGCCTATCAGTGAATGCCAATCTCTAAAATTTCTTCTTACCCAATAGAGCCAAAACACATACTATCAAAAAAAAAAAATTCTTCACGAAGTTATAAAAATACTCTGCTACAGATTTAATCCAAATCAACGTTTTCCGATCACCAGAAGTAAACTAAAACACAAACAAAATGAGAAACCCACACAGAAAAAACCAAACAACCCACAAATCATCAAGCTCAGATCAACCAAAAACTACAGCAACGATCAAAAACAAAGAAAGGGGCAATCTTTAATCTCTGGTTTTCTTAAAGGGTATCTTCCATTTCTGTTTTTTCTTTCATTTTTTTCTTTAACAAGGATGGCTTGCGAAGTTGTACCTGGGAAGAAGAGGGTTCTGTTTGTCAAGAGAATAGACGATGAGACCAGAAGAGCCAAAATTGACAGTGACAGAAGAAGGGTGCACGGAGGCAAAGTGCTGCGCGAGAAAGCCATCTTTCAGAGCCGAGACTGATCCAGACTGAGGGCTCTGCAGAGCCTCGGGGCTCTTAGCCACCGATTTGTCGAAAACTGCTAGCATTTTGTGGATCGTTGATCCAAGAGTCAAAGGCAGAGAATGGCTTTGGGGCTATGTAGAAGATGGAAAATGGGTTATATTTGAGGTGGTTACTTTACTGGTTATATTATAAGCTTCGAGAATGGACTTTTTATTTCCAATATTGACCCTGATACTATCCATAAAATTACACCCATCTCTTCCTGTTTTAGCAGTAATAATCTTGTTTTTTTTTTATAATGAAAGTGTACAACGGAAGATTTACTTTCTATTTCGGGCAAAATTGGCTATGATTTTATAAATCATTGCAATAATTAATTTTTTTAAATACAGCCAAAAAAATAATTTAATTTTCAAATAATTCAAAATTATCATCATTTAAGAAATATTCTTAAACCACAACAACTTTATTTTAACCAGACAAATTTGTAAAATAATATATTAAAATGTAAATAATTAAAGAAACAAAAAGATAATACAATTTCATGTCCAATAAAAGTTCTTCATGAATAAAAAAAAAGAATCATCATGTGGAGAGTATTGACTATATACAGGTTATATGCACTAATTATTATATTAGAGATACAAAGTTATAATTTCAAAGACACATCGTCTAGTTTTTATGGATAAAAGTGATAGTTTAGTTTTTATTTATTTATTTATTATAATTAAGCTAAACCGGCCTAGTCATGCTAGCACAAGGATTTAAATATTAGGGGTGGTTTAGAAAGAAAAAAAAGGCGGTTTTCTACGCAAATAGTTAGATGGAGCACATGCCCTAATAATCACATCTTCGTGTGATTAGTTATGTTAAAGGAACAACATATATGGGTAAGATTCAAGTTTAAAATTTTCATTCGAATAGTTTATATATCGCGTCGTAAAAAGAAAAAGAGACGATTTAATCATAATAACTAAAATATTAAGTGAATTTGTCAATTTATAGTGTAGTTGTAAGGCATTTTGGTATGGAGCATGGGAGCGTGCTAGAAACATTTCTTTTAATTTATTGGTGAATTTTGTTGTATACTTGTATAAAAAGCTTATAGTAAATGGCTTCTTCTTAGCTAGAAAGAATAAAAAGGCTTAAATATATTAGGAGCTAGTTTCTTTTTCTTTATTCAAGAGCCTGTATTTTCAATTTTTTATTTTATATAAGCATAGGAATTGTAATCCTTGTGGAATTTATAAGATTCCATAACACCATAAGGTTTGGAATTTGGACTGGCAGCATTTTTTCTTGAGAGACCAATGGTTGAAGAAGATAAAGGAGTTATTTTAGTAAGTTCCTTTCTAGTCTATTTTTATTTCATTACTAAATAATAATATTGAGATAATTAAAGTTGAGAGCTTCTTATCCACTTGTTGCTGGCGTGGCAAATGGCGGTGGCGGGGGAAAGAATCAAAATCAGGACAGGAGGAGGGAGGGATTGCTTTTACAGGCACACGAGAATAATGGTCTATTGCCGACTTGCTAGTCAATGATTTCCAGTAGGTAACGCGTTTAGCTTTTTTGGACTATATCAAAAACTTTCGTTGAAGATAAGGGACTTGCAACTAAAGTAATTAAATGTAGTATTTATTCTTGCACCCGATGTTTTAGGTTCGATTCCTCCTTTATAGATATTGATTTTATAGTTAAAGTGAAGTAAGATGTGAATTGAGACAATATCTCGATCCACACATATAGGCCTAATTTAATGATTTAATTAAAAAATATTAGTGGAGAGAAGCCTAAACTTGCAAAACATGAAATTAGACGATCACTAAACAAAATTAAGGACAAAAAAAAAATCTACTCGATCGACAAGCAGAACAGTAGACAAAATATTAGGAAAAAACCGCGTATGGCCGAGCGGCTATACTATTTCTTTTAAAAAAATAAAAAAACAGAGTATAGCCGAGCGGATATACAATTTCCTTATTTAAAAAATCTCGTATAGACGTGTGGCTATACTATTTCTTTAAAAAAAAAATTATAACAGCGTACCGCCGCGCGGCTATACTATTCCTTTAAAAAAAAAAACTGAGTATATCCTACGGTTATGCTATTTATAAATTAAAAAAAAGTAAAACCCGAGTATAGCCGAGCGGCTATACTATTTATTAAAAAAAACGAGTATAGCCGAGCGGCTATACTATTCCTTTAAGCAGAAAGAAAAACCTCAGTAACAAATATCCTTTAAGACATAAACATGCTATGCCTTGTTTTTGGAAAACATAAAAATTTGTTTTCAAAAACTGCACCATGGGCTTACAGGCCAAGCAGACATTATGTGTACAACAGTTCAAAAACCACAACAAAAAACAAGACCCAAAAGGAATTTGAAGTAGGGAGGGTCCTAGAAAAAAGGCAAAAATAGCACAAGATACTGAATGAAGAAACAAAATTCAGAATCGAAAAAAGTAGAGTTGAAAATCATGGAACACCAGAGGTTTTTTTTTTTTTTTTTTTTTTTTTT